AGTCATTAAAAAAAATTCTTCACACATAAAAAATGAGCAATGAAATTTTTCATATAAATATCTTTGTATGCAAATCTCGCGTTCGATGTAACGGAAAGTTAGTGTGCATATCGTGTACTTACGCTTTGATTCTTCCATACAATATTACAATTGTGTGCAAAGCAGATTGGGTAGAATTCCTTTCAATTGTACTCTGCAATATATTTGATTACCCAGCAAAGAAGCTAGCGATCAATTACGAAGAGTTGTTGGGAAGGAGGGAACGGAAAGGATCCCCTGCCTTCGGTCACGTACACCAATCCTGGCGCGACTTTATAAAACGCCTACCAACTGTGTCTGTGATCATTGTCACGTATCCGACACGATACTCTCAGCGAACCATAAAAATCATTGTTGATCTCATATCTTAACTCAAACAAAAAACGTGTACTCGATGAAATTGTTCCAACAAAGAGTCTCTACATTTAAATGAAAAAAGCTAGGTCCCTTTCAGAAAGCCCATAAAATGCATAAAATACGGCCGAGTATGCAGGAACTGCGCAGCAGCTACATATTCGTCATTGACCCTCTCGAGCCGCAACCACTATATCGCCGCGTGGTGTATATTTCGTCGTTGAGGGTGAATGAGTCCGAAACACGGTCGGTGGTCGTCGGTAGTGGACGTGGTGTAATTCCCGGTTATTACGCTTGGGGAAAGGAGTAAGAGACGTTCGAAACCAAGAAAGAAAGGAAAGCCCCTGCGATGATTATGACGAACGAAAGAGCGAGGGAAGCGGTCCGCTTTTCAACGACGACGTAGCACTCGGGAACCAATCCGAAACCGTCCAGACATCACACCATTACTAGGCGTAGCGAATGAAATTCGCCAGGTCTCTGGTCGCTACTGTCGTACACGCACGTCACCGTTTTACCGAGGGCAAAACGTGCATGACCCTCTTTTTTGTCGATCGTGTGTTCTCGATATCGATCGCTTTTGCGTGTCGAAGCATTACGCGCCTGACTTCATTCTCGTCAAACGTCCGGTTATAATTCGGTGTTTTATTCGCCCAATCACGAATACGTTCTCTTCGGAGATGCTATTTATAGGTTATACAAGAAGGGGGGAGATCAATTTGTACGTTAATTTAACGTCTGATAGAAGAAGTTGAGAGAATTCGAGAGACGCGTTTCCGCTTGATTCACGTTCTTAATTTTCAACGATTAAGTATGTATGTATGCTGGAATGCACCGGGAGAAGCGGTGCTCAAGGATATCTTTCGTTTTGTCCGCTCTTCGCGAACGGCCTGAATACCAAAGAGACCAGTGGGCTGCTGTTTATTCCAAATCACGTGGGTTGGCAATTATTTTGCAGATGTAAATAAATTAGAACTCGTCTCATTTTTTGTTCTCTATGCAACATGAAAATCACTATGAAAATTACTTCGAGATAAAAGGTTAGTTAGTCTTTCTTTCATCCTTGATACGTAATGTTTCTTTTTCATGGTTCAATTATCGGTTTACCTCGAGGCAACTGTAAAATTGACACTTTAATTACACAATGAATGACTGCTCGTTATAAGTCAGCAAGTGAAAATCCTTTTAAGGCCATACTTCACAACTGCTAGCTTACTTCGTTGCATCCATTACAATCCTTACACTCGCTCGCATGTTGCAA